CCAACACGGCGATCAATACACCCACCATAACTACACCTGCTGTGGGTACCCAGAGAGGACTAACACAGCGATCAAGACACCCACAGCACTGCATCTGCTGTGGTTGCCACGAAAGGAACCACTTGGACGACTTAACACATTGTAAACCACCCGAAGTTGCTCCCACGATATTACTCAACTCCATGCCACTACATTCAATGCATAAGATATAGTGTGGGTGGCGCCAAAAGGTTCACAAAGGGACAAACATCAATTCCACAGCAACTTATGTGGGTGCCCCAGAACGATTGGTACCCAATACAACACATATATCAGCGCACATGATGTGGGTGACCAATAAGCGTGCCAACCCGACAATACATAAGCACAATATCCCATCTTGAATGCCTTCTTCCAGTTTAACGAGAAACAAACCAATAAGGTACCCATTTCGCTATCCACCACATTACGCCAAATTCACTCAAAATCCTCAACTCTGAGAGATAGGGTATCCATCTCGTTACACCAAATTCACTTAAAATTCTCAACTCTGAAGGATAGGGTATCCATTTTGGTATCCATCTCGTTACACCAAATTCACTCAAAATCCTCAACTCTATAAGATAGGGTATCCATTTTGGGTATCCATCTCGTTACACCAAATTCACTCAAAATCCCCAACTTTATAAGATAGGGTATCCATTTTGGTATCCATCTCGTTACACCAAATTCACTCAAAATCCTCAAGTCTGAGAGATAGGGTATCCATTTTGGGTATCCATCTCGTTACACCAAATTCACTTAAAATTCTCAACTCTGAGAGATAGGGTATCCATTTTGGTATCCATCTCGTTACACCAAATTCACTCAAAATCCTCAACTTTCAGAGATAGGGTAAAATCCTCGATTTTTAAGAATATATGGATGTTCTAAAATTTGGATACCCGAGTTCAGGATATTATGACATCCCTCAAACCCTACTATGTTTATTTGCAGAGACATAGCATGCTGATTGTATTTAATCAGAAGATGTTCAATAGTCTTATCGTACTCAATAGTATCTTTTCCTTTGATTCGGCTAAATGTAAGGGTGAAATTGTACAACCGATTCAGTTTAGTCCGTAAAGAAATTGGAGTTTCTTTGGTAACGCTACATTTTGACGAATTTTTGTGAGATACTAGAGGATAGAAGGAATTTTATAACACCAGACATCTGATTTGCACATATTTTAAGCATGCTAAAATGCAGTTTACAAAGCTGACGGCTTGCTCTTTCATATTGAGTGGTGCATCTTTCTATTTTTAACTTTTTAAAAATGAAGTATCGAACAGTTTTGCAGAAAAGTTTTACTGCAGCCTTTTCTTATGAATACAGAAAAAAAATATTCAGATTACACATAAAATAAATTTTTATAAGAACTAACCCGTATCTTCTGGGTCACTCGAGAACATCAACTGCGATTTAGCTAGTGATATTAATATTAGTGTTACTATGGAGTACCATATCCATGAGTTTGTCCTTCATGGTGGTATGTTTTTATTTATCAGTTTTTGATTGGCTTAAATTTTGACGAGTGGTAATTTTTCACTCGTCGTAGTGGTGAGTGATCGTGTTGTGGTAGCTTTACACAGATCGGTTTTTGATCGTATATCAACAATGTATGCTATGATCTGTACGGAAAAGTCCATATTTTTTACTCACGTACTTCGACATTCCTTTTAGATTGTGTTTCGAAAAAAATTTTTATTGAACTACATTCATCAATTCTACAAAAGAGATTAGCAATTTGATAGCAATCGTTACGTACGAAAATGTCGGATATTCATAGTAAGCAAGCAAGTCACAACGAAAGAAAAGATCATGATGAAGTTCTGAAAAATTTGAATTTACAATCGCTTGAACAGGCAAAATGGATCAATCTACATAAGAACTTACTTATTTACTATGGAAATATACTTGATGTGAAAGCGGATGCTATAGTGAATACAGCAAACGAGGGATTACTTGGAGGTGGTGGACTTGATTTTCTGGTACATAGCATTGCTGGAGAAGAACTCAAACGCTTTTGTTCAGAACTACCAGCCAATGATCAAGGTGTTCGATGTCATATTGGAGATTGTGTAATTACACCTGGATTTAAGTCTAATTATAAATATATAATTCATACTGTTGGACCGTATTTAGATAAATATAACAAACCTCAGCCAATACTACTTGCTAACTGTTATAAAAACTCATTCCAAATAGCCGTTCAAAATGGTTGTACGAGCATTGTATTTCCATGCATATCAACCGGATACTATGGTTATCCGATGTTAGAGGCAGCTATTATTGCTATTGAAACATTAAATCAATGTTTGCACAATTGTCAAAACTTGAATATCATCGTTACCATTGCTGTGTTCAATGATCTCGAGCAAAAAATCTATAAAAAACTACAAGAAGAAACATTCGATACATAACTAACATGAAACATATTTTGTATGGTGATCTTATGAGTATTAATACAATCAAAAAAAGTTTTGACTTGTTTATCTTATATTGCAATTACAAAAAACAAGATCGATGTCTGTGATCTGTGGAGATATGTTCGAATAAATGCGAGTAAATCGCTGAGTAGATCGAAAACTTAATTTCGAACAGGCAGGTCAGACATTCATTGTCAAAGTTTTACACTATCATATGTGTATGGATTTCGAGATGAGTAAATAGGAGACTCATAGCCACACCATCAAAATCCTCGGCAATGATTCCGTTGATCCAAAATTTTCTTATATAGAACTTTTGCTCGGTGAAGATAAACATAATCATGCTTTGATGATTACCCTCGTCACTGTATTGAAAAACAAATGAACTCAATTTGAGCCTAAAATCATTATCACGAGATCGATGCTATATATTATATTTATTGATAGGGAGTTTGAAATTAATAGAGATTAATTTGCAACATGACTCCCGCATATGGTAAAAAAAGATCAGTATTGCCATTCCATTTGATTGTGGGGATATTGTTCACGATATATAATTTAAAAGCTTTTCTTTGACTCTTTTCTTTTTTACTGATGCATAAACTTCAATTCTATATTCATAAAACATATACAAAGCTCATTCGATAGAACAACATGACATTTTTCATTAATATCAGATGGTAATTTCATTTACAAGTCCTTTTCTTTTTTTTGCTTTTATTCTCAAGTACATTTTCTTGATTATGTAATCAATCACGTATGTAAGATGCAAGCAATGCGAATTTTGAGTAGAAATTTTTTTTTGTCGTTTTTTACACTATTTGATGGAGAGAGAGAGAGCGGTTGATCACGAAGATCTACTTTTTAACCTTAGCAAATGTTTCCTTCCGGTCGAAAAATATGAAATACTCGAAAGATGTCGTTTTTTGAGAAAAAACACGTGTTTTTAAAAATATGCAAAATTTTCTACTTCTTTCTTTTTCTCGACTTCTGAAAATATTTTTTTCAGATTCAGTATCAAAAAACTGAATATAGACAAGTTGTTAAATCGACTCTAGACCTGAAAATTTATTGGTGATGGCGCTTAGAATCGTATGGAGTGAGATACTTATAGGTCGATTTTGTAAACATATGTAGTCTTTGCATGTAAACAATGAAGCCAAATATATTATCTTATCCTATTTACCATACAACCCCTCATCACGCTACGGATCAGTTTTTTCCTTTTCCTTCCTATATCGAGAGAAATCGTTTTTACTGGTGGCATAGCCGTTATAGGTGATATTCAACGATTTTCAAATTTAAATAAGATTTGTAGTCACAAACTAAATACAGATTCTGAATCAACACAAAAAACTGAGTCGAGTGAAGTGTCTTTCAAGTTAATTCCACAATTTTCATCTATTGATTCTTCAATAACAATTTCATTCCTACCATGATACATGAAAAAATGAACATTGTGGAATTAACTTGAAAGACACTTCACTCGACTCAGTTTTTTGTGCTGATTTAGAATCTGTATTTATTTTGTGACTACAAATCTTATTTAAATTCGAAAATCGTTGAATACCACCTACAAGGGCTATGCCACCAGTAAAAACGATTTCTCTCGATATAGGAAGGAAAAGGAAAAAACTGATCCGTAGCGTGGGGCGGGGTTGTATGGTAAATAGGATAAGGCAAAATATTTGGCTCCATCGTTTACGTGCAAAGACTACATATGTTTACAAAATCGACCTATAAGTATCTCACTCCACACGATTCTAAGCGCCATCACCAATAGAGTTTCAGGTCTAGAGTCGCGATTTAACAACTTGTCTATATTCAGTTTTTGATGCTAAATCTGAAAAAAATATTTTCAGAAGTCGAGAAAAAGAAAGAAGTAGAAAATTTTGCATATTTTTAAATACACGTGTTTTTTCTCAAAAAACGACATCTTTCGAGTATTTCGTATTTTTCGACTGGAAGGAAGCATTTGCTAAGGCTAAAAAGTAGATTTTCGTGATCAACCGCTCTCTCTCTCTATCAAATGATGTAAAAAAACAGCAGAAAAAAAACATTCTTTACTCGAAATTTGCATTGCGTTCACCTTACTATGACAACCATTTTTTCTTTTCGTCTCTAGTGATACTGACAAAAAAAAAAGAAAAGAAAAATTTTACCAATTCTTTCAATCAATAACGAAATAAATGTGTAATACATTCATTTAAAATGGCTGGACAAGGTATATTGATTATCATTATTCCTAATGATTTAAATAATAATCAAGAAAAATTACTTGATACAGCACAAGTATGATATTAAATTTTATGTTATCTTGAGAAATATTTTTGTTAGTTAGATTGTAAAAGATCCATTGGAATTACCAATTAAATCAAATAATCCAACATCTGTTATTGAACATTCAAAAGAATTTCCATGTTCTACATGTAATATTTCATTAACATCACGATTTCGTTATCATATTAGTCCAAAATTAAATTTAACTGATGCTATTTGGGTAAAAAATCTTAATTTAAATAGAATAATTTTTGTTTTTATTTATTTAATAGATACTTTCAGAAGATCGTCAACATTTTTTTATAACTTGTTTTGCTGAATTAGGTCAACATTCTGATTTAATTATTCATGAATTACGTTCAGCTGAAATTGGTATTCGACAAGGATCAAAAGTTTTTATTCTTCCTTTATCATGTGCACTTGGTATTGATAATCTTTCATCATCATCACCAACTATTGTTGAAATAAATAATTTAAATGATGTAGTTAAAGAAATAACAAATTCAAATGAATCTCCACATAATAAAGAATTAAATGAACAACGTGGCATAAATAAAAGTGATTTTAAACGAAGTATTCGTGCACGTTTAACTGTTTTACAAGTTGTAAATGCAATACGTGGACAAACATTATTTTCATTTGATTTTCTTCTTTTAACAATACTTGCATCAATTATTGCTTCAATGGGTTTATTAGAAGATAATTCTGTGTAAGTAATTTTATTTAAAAAGGAAAAATTTTATATTAGAAAGAAAAATATATCAATTAGAATACTCGTTGCTTCAATGTTAGTATCTCCATTAATGGTAAGACAATGAAAATTTTTTCAAAAAAAGCAAAAAAACAAAAATTTTATTTTGATAGGGTCCAATATTAGGTATTGTTTTTGGTTTATGTATTAGTGATTCAACATTATGGAAAGTTGGTTTAAGAACAGAAGTAATTGGTTTATTAATTACAATATTTACAGGATTTATTGTTGGACTTTGTACAACATGGTCTGAAGTTAAATGGGGTTCATCAACATCATTTCCAACACATGAAATGCGTTCGAGGTATTTAAGAAAAAAAAATGTTGTGTTTATTTGAAACGATAAGATTTTTATTTCTAAATAAAGAGGTGATATTCGTCGTTTATGGGCTGGTGCTCTTGTTGCTTTACCATCAGGAGCTGGTGCAGCTCTTAGTGTTCTTGGTGGTAATGTTGGAAGTCTTGTATGAAAATCATTTAATATGAAAATATTGATTCATAAATAAAATAATTAATTTTTAGGTTGGTGTAGCCATTAGTGCAAGTCTTCTACCACCAGCTGTAAATGCTGGTCTACTTTCTAGTTATTCATTATTATCAGCATTGATACCATCTATTGGAAAACAATCATCAAAAGATGAATATTATGAAAGATTAAATTCATCGATAAATATCGGAAGAAATTGTACAAAATTTATTGGAAATGATTATATTCCAATTTATTCATGTCATATGGCAACGGAAGCAGGTTTACTTGGTATTTTTTCATTTATATTAACAATAACAAATATTATTTGTATTATAGGTAAGTTATATTAGATAATTGTATAAGAATTGAGTTTTATCAAAATTCAGAGATTTAAAAATATCAAGTAAAGATTAAGTGTTAAAAAGTATCTCAACTTTAACCTTTTAGTATCATAGTTTGACCAGAAATAAAATATGATGAATTCTAATCGGACGAACTTGATCAATCTTCATACGAAGGTGATAAAAGATCAACATAGATTTTATCTTTAGACGAGGATATCTCAACATAGAAAATAAATTGCATGACCTTAGGCCTTTCATCCGGAGCTCAGTGCTGCCTCGAATTTCATGTCAAACAGTTTTAATTTGCTTTAATTATGAAGTATTCTTTGGATTATCTAAATATTAGACTTAATTGAAATCATCGAAAAGTGACCGATATTTCCACCTAATTTCAATCATTTTTCATGAAAATTTCACGATCACAATCATCAATGGAGAAGAGATTCATGTTGAGTCCGTCCCAGATAATGGAGACTTCTCTACACGTCAAGATTACAGCGGATTGGAATATTCTATCTGTGACACATTTCAGACATGTGAACCTTTATTTATTAATCACAAGAAATTAAGGTTGAGAAAAGTGTCAAAAAAGTCTCCCTTGGGGTCCCGGAGGAAAAAAGTGTTTTCAACATAAAATCCTTTGCATTAGGACTTATCGACCTCGGATTGCTGCTTGGGACCAAAGTTTATCGAGCTTTATTTATATGAGACTACTGTATAATCGAATTTTTCAAGATTTGGAATTGTGAAACAAATTTGAGCCTATGAATGAAGCATTTCAATATCGAAGAAAAAAAAATGATAACATATAGAGATACACCTAGAAGAATAATCTTAATCTTATAGGAGAAAATATTTTTCTTTTAAATTTCTTGTTTAAAATCAATCAGATAGATTCAGTATTTTCGTTCATATCTTCAAAAAATATAACAACATTATATCTTAGATATTTACCATACTTTGAAAATATATATTTATCTTTCTTCGATTAGTCGTAGCAATGGGCATATTACGAATAAAAGAAGTTGTACCAATTGTACGTGATGATGAAATCGGTAAGAAAATTTTCTCTTATTTTTCTTCTATTAATTGAATATTTTTTCTAGCTCAATTTTGGCATAATGGTGTTCGTACCGTTCGTGGTCATAATAAAACAATGCATCGTAATGATATTAATAATCTTGTTAATATGTGGAAATCTATAAAAAGTACTGATCTAGAACCATTAAATATTGAAGATAATAATGAAGAATCAAAAATTAATATTGAAATCGATAAACAACAATTATCATTAAAACATCGAAATATATCTCAAATAATTCTTGCACGTAAACTTCAAAATTTAGAAGAATTTGCTAATGCATATCATTTAAATCTATCAAATACTGATGATAGATTATTAAAAACAGATACAGCACGTGAAAATGTTCAACAAATGGCTAATGATATATTAGCAAGTATAGAAGAAACAAATCGAATTAATTTAGGTAGTTTTGTTGCACAAATGGGTGGAAGTAATGATAGATTATTAACTCGTTTTCGTATGCAAACATTTTATCAAGAATTAGTTGATGTAATGCCATTAAAATGGAAAGAAATATTTGAACAATGTCAACAACAATCAACATAAAAAGAAAAAAAAATTTTTCATCAAATCTAAATTTTCTTGTTTTTTTTTTATTTACTTTTGAAATACCTGTGTTTTGTAATCTTCTTATCATTAATAGATCATACTTTACATTTGTGGATAATAAATAGATGCTGACAAAAAAAAAAGGAATTGCATTATGAGATTAAAACATCAAATGATCGTATGTCAATTTGACGACTAACTAATCAAATAGTTTTTATTTTCAAAATTCAAAACATAAAA